TTTAAAGGAGGGAACCGGAAACGACGAACCCCGTGACTGCCCACCGCTATATCATGCCGTGTCACCAGGGTGTAGCCCGGTATCCTTCCACCCCAAACACTGCCGAGAACCCCTCCCACCTATCACACTTGTTTGAGGGATGGGACCCAGACCTGTTCCTGTACCCAAGCTTCGGTAGTTGGGAAACCTCCTGGCACAGCCAAACGCCCGAGACTGCCCATGCACTGGATGTGCAGGATGTTTCCCAATTACCTGGACAAGTCCCTGTCTCCCAAGTCGAAGGGAGCCAGGAATTCATGGTGGAGCCCCAGATCCAGGAGCAGCAGGAGAACTCAGCAAATGGACTTGACCCCGAAGAGCTCATCCTGCAGCAGATCCTGGATGACCTGTTTAAAAACTGTAAATAGTGTGGGAGCATTCTTAAATAAAAGTTTTACAGCATGTAACAGTGTTGTCTTTTAATTGTACAATATATCTAAAAACTTACACTCAGCTGGGTGAAGGTATGGTGCTCATACATATATGCTATCAGAAGGGCATAGCATGGCCCTAGAACCTTCATCAAATAAAAATGAGATCCAACGAGTCCTCAGAAACACAGGAGTGTCTATCCTGCGTGCGAATGTGTGAGACGGAGGGAGAGCCCAGCCTTGAAACACCACAATGGATTTATCTTCTGTGCCACGCCCCCTGGTGGATCTGGAGTGTCCTGTATGTGTGTCGCCTTCTCTCAGTCTCACTGCAGGTGAGTTTCCCCTGTGTGCGTGCTACCTGAGGTCCACATTAAATTCCATGAAAAGCGCCTCTGGAGGGGAGAATTGCAGCTAACCTGCACAACTGCAATTTTGGACTTTTGCTCAGCGTATTTGACTTTTTCACATTTCTCTAATACAGTGGTTAGCAATCCTGTTCCTGCCTCCCGCCAGAATGTTTTCAGTCCAACCCTACCTTAATCAGCTTCATATGGTCTTTAATAAGCTAATAATACATGTGGCAGGTTGAAAGCAGAGTGGGTTGGAATGAAAACATTCTGGCAGGGGCAAGGGGTGCCAGGAACAGCACTGCTAACTACTATCCTAATATATTAATATAGTCACCCCTTCACATTCTTGAGGGCTAAGGGCGGAAGATCCCCATGAATGTGACAATGTCCACATAATACTTGGGCCCATTATTAAAAATGCAAAATTAACGGTGCTAAAAAGTAAAAAAAATTATTAGGTGAACCGTGAGATTCCGTGCTCATAGAAGCAGCTGTGAGTGATGCTACGTTCACACTGCGAGCGGCGAGAGCGTCAAAGTGACCGGAAGTCATTCATTCTCTATGGGAGGGAGCGTCGGGAGGCGTCGAGGAGCGGCGCGGTGCGATCTGGGTGGCGGGAGCATCAGACAGAAGTTG